GTTCATACTGATATTTGTGAACTTGGTGGAATTCTAACTCGTGGAGGTAATAGATATTTTATCACTTTCATTGATGATTTTTCTAAGTTTACATACGTTTACTTGATGAAAAATAGAAGTGATGCTTTTGAAAATTTCAAAACTTATCTCAATGAGGTTGAAAATCAGTTTGGAAGAAAAATAAAAAGAATTAGAAGTGATAGAGGCCGTGAATATGAATCAAATGAGTTTAATTCTTTTGTTAGATCATTGGGAATAATTCATGAAACTACTCCTCCTTACTCTCCTTCGTCTAATGGAGTAGCAGAAAGGAAAAACAGAACTTTGGTTGAATTGACTAATGCCATGCTAATTGAGTCACATGCACCTTTAAATTTTTGGGGTGAAGCTATCTTAACTGCTTGTTATGTGTTGAATCGTGTGCCTCATGAAAAATCTAAATTGACACCTTTTGAATTGTGGAAAGGTTACAAGCCAAGTTTGGGATATCTAAGAGTTTGGGGTTGTCTAGCCTTTGTGAGGCTAATGGATCCCAAGATTACAAAGTTGGGTAAGAAAGTTACTACTTGTGCTTTTCTTGGTTATGCTTCAAATAGTACAGCCTATAGATTTTTTAATCTTGAAGATAATATTGTAATAGAATCTGGTGATGCTATTTTTCATGAAAATAAATTTCCTTTTGATATTAAAAATAGTGAGGGTCAAAGGATTGAACAAAATATTTTGTCACTACCTAGTTCTTCTACTTCAACTTTGAAAAATAAAGAAGTAGGTGATTTTGAGTTAAGAAGAAGTAAAAGAGCTAGAGTAGAAAAAGATTTTGGTCCTGATTATTTTGTGTTTAATATTGAAAATGACCCTCAAACTTTGAAAGAAGCATTATCTTCACACGATTCTATTTTTTGGAAAGAGGCTGTAAATGATGAAATGGAATCTCTAATTTCTAATAAAACTTGGAAGTTAGTTTATTTACCACCGGGTTGTAAAACAATTGGTTGTAAATGGGTCTTACGGAAAAAGTTGAAACCGGATGGATCTATTGATAAATACAAAGTTAGGCTAGTTGCAAAAGGTTTTAAACAACTAGAAGGCCTAGAATTTTTTGATATTTTTTCTCCGGTAACAAGAATTACATCCATTAGACTTTTAGTTGCTATGGCTGCAATTTTTAATTTGCAAATTCATCAAATGGATGTAAAAACTGCTTTTCTAAATGGAGACCTAAATGAAGAAATTTATATAGACCAACCCGAGTGTTTTGTTGAAGCAGGCCAAGAAAGCAAAGTATGTAAACTTACAAAATCCCTATATGGCTTGAAACAGGCACCAAAACAATGGCATGAAAAGTTTGATTCCTGCATGATTGAAAATGGTTTTAAAACAAATGAGTGTGATAAGTGCATATATCATAAGTCTTGGAATAATTCTCATGTGATTATTTGCCTATATGTTGATGATTTGTTGATCTTTGGCTCTAACATGAATGTTATTGATGAAGCTAAAAATGTTCTTAGAAGCCATTTTGATATGAAAGATCTTGGTGAGGCAAATTTTATTTTGGAATGAAAATAACAAGAACATGTAAGGGGATTTTCCTTGACCAGTCACATTATGTTGAGAAAATTTTGAAAAAATATAACTTTCATGATTGCAAGCATGTTGCTACTCCTTTTGATTCAAGTGTTCACTTATTTCCTGTTGAAAGTTAAAATGATGTAATAAATCAAAAGGAATATGCTAGTATAATCGGAAGTTTGAGATATGTGACTGATTGCACTAGGCCTGATATTGCATATGCAGTAGGAGTACTTGGCAGGTTTACAAGCAAGCCAGGTAATGAACATTGGCATGCTATAACAAGAGTTATGAGATATTTAATTGGAACAAAAAATTGTGGTTTGTTCTATAAAAAATATCCTGCTGTACTTGAAGGCTTTTGTGATGCGGATTGGAACACTTTGTCAGTTGATTCCTGTTCTACAACTGGTTATGTCTTTACTTTAGGTGGTGGTGCTGTTTGTTGGAGATCAAAGAAGCAAACTATAATTGCTAACTCTACCATGGAGGCTGAACTAATTGCTTTAGCTTCAGCTAGTGATGAAGCGAATTGGTTAAGAGATTTATTGTTTCAAATTCCTTATTTTGAAAAATCAATTCCTCCTATTTTAATTCATTGTGATAGCACCGCTGCAATTGGTAGAGTTCAAAACCGTTATTACAACGGTAAATCCAGACCTATAAGGAGGAAACACAGTAATGTAAGATCGTATTTGACAAATGATACCATTAATGTTGATTATGTCAAATCTTGTGATAATCTTGCAGATCCTCTTACAAAGGCCTTAACAAGAGAAAAGGTTTGGAGCACATCGAGGGGGATGGGATTGAAGCCTACAAATCCTTGAATCATATATGAGGAAACCCAACCTGGGGACTAGAGAACCTATAACCGGGTTCAAAGGGAAAAACTAATCATATGTTGACTTGTTGTGAAAAATGCACTATTTTTTCCCTCCCTATGATGTGAGTGCATTATTTCCTGTAGTTTGTGAAGGTTGAGTTAATAAAACTCTTAATGAATATCTGTAGCCCGTATAGGTGGAGTATTAATCTTACAGGAGCACTCTCGACAGATTTCACCTATGTGATGTGTGAAAGTAGGTCGCTTCCTATGAGAATGAGGCTTATTCTCAAATGCACTCATGAAACCGGGATAGCACATGGCCATAACGTGCTGGCTGTTAAAGCTCATGTCAACACCTTGATTATTATGTGTGAGCAGTGATATTTTATTTCCCTTAAGCAGTCATAGTTCAAGTCTGAGACCACTACGACTCTGGAGTAAGAGTTACTGTTTCACTAAGTGGAGGTTCAATGCAGAGCACACTTTCATTATGCATAGTAGTCTTCCTTCAGCTGATATACTCTCTTATCTAAATATTAAAATGAGTGGGGGATTGTTAGGTTATTAGCATTTTAATATTAATATTTAACATATTAAATTGCTTTATTTTGGAGTTATAAGAATGAACTTTGGAATGGATGACTTCTCCATCATCCATTAGCATTGGTTATCTATCAATGTATTTCATTCTTAATTCCTCCATTACGCCCTTTGTAACCTATGTAACATATGTAACTCCCTTTGTAACATATGTAACTCCCATTGTAACTTATGTAACCTATGTAACTCCCATTGTAACCTATGTAACTCCTAAGGCCATTATCTTCACTATTTACTACCTCCATTATCTTCCTATTCATTGCTAGGAAGACTTCTTGTAGTATAAATAGTGGTAGTCTTCATTTGGTTTTAGACACACAATTCATAAGAGAAAACAAAGAGTAAAAGAGTTAGTCTAAAAGAGAGTTCTTATTAGTTGAAGGGAGGTGTTTTTTTTTGTGGAGCTTTGGACTCAACTCTTGTCCAGAGTTGTTGAGTTATACTTTGTGAAAGCTGTTGTATCCTGGAGGACACAAGTCAAAGAGGACTACTGCTGGACCGGTGAAAACATTTGCTGCAGTGGGCTTGAATCTCCTTAAAGAGAGCGAGATATCCGCGCCTCAGCCAGAAGAGATTACTTTCTTCATTTTATTTTCTATTGTAATCTTGCAATTTTATTATCTTGTAAGTTTTTTCACTAACAGTGGGTCATGAAACCAACAACTAAGCTGAAATTCCATTAACAACTCATGGAGTTCACCGGTGCATTCAACATGGATATAAGAAGATTATTTTGTAAGTATATTATAAATTACTCACTAAATGGCTCGTCTTTAATATTAAACCACCATGGAAGATTCAACATCACAATAAGAGCTTCAACACCTCATTATTAGTCAGCGGCAACTACTAAAGGAAACTATTTTTTGGAGAAGTTGGGAATGACAAATTTCAGAAGAAGGAAGTTGAAGAGAATTAAGAAACCTAGCTCCTTAATATATCTTCTTAATTTTGTTTGGAGTATCTAGTATGGATGTTCTCTATACTACTTCTATTCTTCCTTAGCCTTTTCAATTAAGCTTTTCCTTTTTTAATTTTTAGCTTTCTTGAATAGACTCTGTAGTTTTTACTTTTCTTATTTTTGTCTATCTTATTTATGCTTTTCTAGTTTTTTTGTATCGAGAGGAGTCCTCTCTCTTAGGTGCATAGCTTCTAGGTTTTCCTTTTCTAAACCGGGGATGAGTTGGCAAGCCTTAGTAAGCTGTCAGGCTTATGAATCACGTAGGATTGGAGATGAGATTTCTGTCCCCCTCCATGTACTGTTGTGTTTTTATTATTTATGTCAAGGCATGGGAGTGTAACTAAGCCCCTAACCCCCAAGGGTCGTTCTTTATAAGTAATGTGCTTTGTCTCGTTGAAAATATAGAACTTTTGTTAGTTTGGACCGGTTCGAACAGTTGAGTTGGTTTGCTTTGTTAGACCATTTTGCTTTTTCAATTGAATAAAATGGCCAAATTTGAATTTTTAATAAAATGTTAGATGCATCTCCATGCAAAGGAAATTGAGTTGTTTCAACCAAAGATGGACCATGACAAGTTGTCAAAACTTGTGTTGAAAATGAATTTACGAGACGGTAGCTATTAAAGCGAATATAACGTCTTTTGAAGTTTTCATAGCTAAAAGATAAATTGAGAAATTTTACGTCTTTTGAAGTTTTCATAGCTAAAAGATAAATTGAGAAATTTTATCTTGTTGATACTAATTCTGCAACTCTCATCCAAAGACTGCATAAGATGCAACAAGAACAACGCTGTTGCAACAAAAACTTACATTTTGCAGCAAAAATAAATAAGTAGAAAAATATGCACTGACGACAAACAGGGGATTTATCCAAGGAAACTACAAAAATCTTCCTTTCCTTTTCCTTATATAATATTAATCTTACAGCTAATGAAAACCAGAGAAACCCAGACCCTGCAAAAGTACTATTATCTATAACTCCAACACAGAATGTATACACTCATGAGGACACAAATTCAATTTGATAGCAACATCACAAAAACTGTCCATCCAATAGCAGAATATAAAAGACCACCACAACCATTCAGTAAACCTTTTTTTTTTTTTAAGATTAATTTCTTTTTTTGTAAAATAAAAATAGTATGACAGAGTCCATCTCTATTGAACCAGATTCTGATGTTTATTGTGCATTTAACAAATGAACAAGATACATGCTCACTTCCAATTCAAGAAACATTTCACCGCAGGGGTTGCTGGTTGTAATGGTTCTTCTCCTTTTTCTTTGCAGCAGCTAGCCTTGCACTCCTTGCTGCAGCCTCACTGGCCACAGCTTTGGCAGCAGCATCTACCTCCTTGATTGATTTTTTCTTCTTAAGAGAAGTCATTTTCTTTATCTTGTCCTTTGCAGCAACAGTAGGTGCATCTTCTCCTTTCTCGCTTGAAACTGTTTCACTAGTCCCATTTCCAAGCTCAACGCCATTGGATTGATCATGTTGCTCTTTGGACTCCTTTGATGATTTATCTTTCTTCTTCTTTTTCTTTGCGCTCTTGCTCTCCCCAGGAGCATTATCATCCTTCTTAGCCATCTCTCCATTGAGTTTTTCCACCTTATCCTGTGCAGCACCTGCAAGTGGATGGATCACCCAGTCACTCTGGAATAGTCCATACATTACCCAAGCTTTTTTGGAAAATAGTGGAAGATAGACACATACCCAATCCAGAACGTATTATAAGGGCACATAAGTTACCACCACCATATTAGAGTTCCACATATTTGTAAAAATGTCACAAAATGATCATACATACCAATTACCTAATAAGCATACAACTTTCAAGGCTCGACAGAAGAAAAATGCTTCGATTGAGGGAGTAAAACACAAGAAAAAGAAAAGAGAGATAAATGCCAGATAACATAATAGATAAAGCTGAGCATCTTTGCAGAGGCACCCAAATGATCTATGCCCGGTGAATTTCCTTGGTATTTTCCTGGCAAAGCCATGGTTGTGTGGCAGCAGGGATTTGTTAGAAAGAAAAGTAAAATAAAAGGAACGGAGAAGAGCCAAAATTGCCCCTGCATTATCCACCAAGGAACACTTTTGCCCTCCGTTAATAATGCAATTGTTTTAAAAAAAAAATTAACATTGTCACACGGCAGAAAAGTTTGCATTCTTATTTTTTCTAATAGTTCTGTTAACTGAAATTTGAAATAAGGGCATAAATGTGCCTTTTGGTTACAGCGAGGTCATATAACTGCCCAACTTTCAGCAGAGGGTATATGTGCTCCGCGGCAAAAAGTACCAGGGTAATTTTGGCCCTTTTCCAATTACTTTATTCTAAGCTACTAGTTCAGGATCCACTTTTGGAGGATAATGAATTGAGGCATTTGAGATGTATATCAGTTCTTTCTTTTGATAGATATTTCACTATAACAATTAGATGCAGGAAGAGGGCAGAGCAGTACCATGAATACAAATCAGAAGTGATACAATAGAAGAAATATGCAGGCAGTCGGCAAGAATATCTTGTATTTAAGTATTTTTTACAGAGCAAGAAACTTAAAAGAATTTCTCATATGAAATTGTCCAATGATTTGCTTATGATTGTATTGTAAAAAGTTTGAGTTGCAATCATACGCAAATTACCTTGTGAATCATCATTGCTCTCAGCTTTGCTTAATCCAAATTCAGCAAGCATAGCTTCAAGCTCAGCAAGCTCCTTTTTCTTAAGTTCCTTCTTTGAAAGCTGCCTTTCCGACTCTTTGGGTGCCACATTTTCAGCAGTCTTCTTAACAATTGGCTCCTTTTCCTCTGGTAAATCAGGTTCCTGCTCATGTTCTTCTTCATTATCATCATCAGCTTCATCAATTCCTTCTTCTTCACTTTCACTTTCCTGATAAACAGATTGTAAGACTTAATGCAGATAAGCTGCTGGACAAGGGAAACAGTAGAATGAAAAAGGAACCTTCATTTTTGAGATGCTATAACTTGATCACCAACAAATAAAATGTTTTTCTTTTAGATAATAGGAAAATAGCATATAGGAAGACAAGAAGAATTCTGTCATACCAAACTTGTCATAGTTCCAAAGCCCTTCATTACAATGTAAACAAGAAATTAAATTGGTTTTGTGAAGCAACTTTAAAACCAAGTATGGCCATCTTCAAACAGATATCAAGGAATATATTTCAGTTAAAGCAAACACTAACTAGCTATTGATAATCCTTCATGTCACAACGGAAACCCAAGAACCACTGGCAACATGAAAGAGAAGGCAAGAATAAGAAGTTTATTCATCGAACTACAAAAGAAAGATAGTTTATCAATCAAAATCTCAGCGTGGAAAAAGGAGCAAGCAAAAATGAATGGACACAGCAACAGGAAAGAAGCTAAGGACAAAAGTCGAGAAGGCAAATATCATTTAAAAAAAAATTGGGCCCGTGACAAGACTAGAGAATGCTCTAGAAATTAAGTTGAACAGCTCCTCAGCACACCACCACCACCTAATATACTAAAATTAAAGTCATCTCTTCAACAGCAATGTGAGGTACATCCATTCGTGCTTGGGTTTACAAGATATCCGGTCGAATCCAGGTGCTAGCAACAGTCACCTTTAGAAGGAAAAACTAATTTGGTTTTATGTACAATTACAGGCTTCCTCTTTGTCTTGGAGTATTTTGCTAACAGGATGTTACCTCTCAGAGTCTAGGTACCAGGTAAATCTGCAACCAAGGCTTAGGTAGACAGGAGGACTCACATACTTTTATTTTTTATTACAATATAGGGTTGAACCTTGATCTCCAAGGTTTGCACTCACTTCACAGACCATTATGTCAATAACCTTGGGTGCCAAGAACTCCAACTTATATTAATGAGCATATAAGAAAATATGGGCAACTTATCTAGATTTGTTTTTCTTAAGGCCATCAGATGTCGCCCATGTAATCCAGAAGATCATGAATGCTACATTGAAATGAGGACAATGCAGGGAGGTTGTGTACATAGTGTAGTCCTTTTCTGGACCCTGAACACTGCATGCTTCATGCACCAGATTCTCCCTTTTTATCAAAATCATAGAATGAAAAATAATTCAACCCACTGGATTTTATTGGTTTCCAAATCGAGATAACAATAAGTTAGCCTTCAAATAGTACTAGTGTGTGATACACTTATTTAATTGGAGTATAATGTAGCCTTCAAATAGTACTAGTGCATGATACCTTTCTGTAATTGGAGTATAACAAAAACAACATTTAAGACTTGAAATGTTCTCCAATAGACGTCATGTTATCGGCGCATTATACTGAACACTGTACATCCCTGTTTCCAACATCTTCTTCTAGTTGTTATCATGTGATAAATAACTTGGAGTAAACTGTCACCTTCACTGACCAATTAAGTCTTAATAATTTGGATAAACAGCTAAAGAATCTAACCTTATCAAAAATTAACAGATGAAGAATCCAGAACACAAAATAGAGGCGCAACATCCGATACAGATAAAATTGACTGAAGACTGCATAATATGAAGCTAAGACACATGACTGTGATATCTGAATACAAGATAAAATTATTCAAAAGTGACAAATGCAGTAACAGGCGTGATGTACCCCAGGAAAACTAGCACCAAACAGCCAAACTAAGACATAAAAGAAAACTAAAAGATAAGAGAAATAAAATTAACTACCATCAGCCACATAACAACTACACTCTAAGCACGTAAACATCTCTTTACCAAAAAAAAAAAGGAAAACAAGTAAAGCAAACACATTATCCTTCTCATAATACTGTGAGACCTTACTGACCAGAGAAATACTGTTACACTGCTGCTCTACACTCTAAAAAGCCATTTTTACGCATACACATTGTGTACACGCTGTTTTTTTATTGTTTACAGACACACACACAATGTTTAAGCCACACATAAATGTTACACACACAAGGAATCATGATCATTTGGACAAATTTAGCTATGTCAAATCAACTCATTTACGAGCATAGAACAAGCAAGAATAAAGCATTAAGGGTGTCCAAATAAGGATGAAATATGAACCTGGAGTGGAGTTACAGTTTCCTTAGGCTTGTGATGATGTTCATTAGCAGTATCAGGTCCCCAAACAGCCTGCGGCGGAGCTGTAGTAGCGTAATAATCATCATCATCTTCATCATCAACATCCGCCCAGGATTTGACAGTCAATGGGGCTGGAGCCCAGAAAACAGGCTCAGGATCCTTGACATTTTTAGAAACTGAACCTTCAGCGTTCTTTCCCTTATCAGACTTCTTCTTCTTCCTTAGGGTTCCAAGAGCAGCGAAAACGTTATTGTTGCTTATGACCAACTGTTCATCCTTCCTGCTTCCACCTCCCACCATTGTGTGAACGAGAAACACAAATCAAATCCCAGTTAAAACCCAACAATCAAGATTTTCTAGAAGAGATAGAGTAAACAATTGACAAAAAGGAAATCGATCAGATTTAACGGCAATCTCTGAGAATGGTTTTCCGATGGTGGATCGTAGCAGATATGGAACACAATTTTATATCGATGGCTTCCTCCCGTCTTTATCAATTTAGGGTTTCGATGAGCCAGACAAGAGAGGGACGAATTCTACTTACCGCTCTCAATATAAACATAATCATATCCTCTTTTCTCATTAATTAATTATAATTAATTAATTGCTTTACTCTATATTATAAGTTATAACAATACCTATCATACAAGTTACAAATACACACTCACATCAATTATATATCACTTATATAATGCCAACACAATCTATACCTTATTTTTAATATACCTACACAGATATATATATATATACAAAAATTTTATTTAAAAATTATTAGTTCGTTAACTAATTTCTGTTATAAAATAACAAAGCATGAAAAAATAATGTTATGGAAAAAGGTATATAAAAGGTTTAGTATTTAATAGACAATGTGTCTAGTTAAAATTATAATAGAAAAACGCTTTGACAAGGCAAAATGAGTATCCTATAGATTAACTCTACGTGCTGAGAATATTATCCAAAAATTTGAATATTTGAATCACAATTTTATGGATCGTCTTATTACAATTATACTTGATAGAGATAAGTGAAAAAAAAAATCAGTCATATTTTCATGTGAACGAATTTGTTGTTTGTTAATGTCACCATTCTTTTCAAGATCGCGTGTGTAGAAAATTTTTGGTGAAATGTTCTCCATTTTATTGGGTTATGCATGTTGATAAGTTGATATTTTATCAACTTATTAAACTATATTCATGAATTATTGCTAGGGTTTAATGCTAATTAAAGTGATTTTAGGCTCTAGATCCCTTATGTGTAGACACTTCTTGAAAAAAATAAAAGTTCAAGAATTTGAAACTCAAATTCACTAAAACACATCAGAGAAGGAACCGACATCCAACACGAGTTAATTGGCATCTCGCAGGTCAAATACTGTCTAAAATAGGACTAAATTGTTTAAAGCACTAACAGTAAATTGTCATTAAGTAATTCAATATCGACACCTCGGCAGCAAAACGCAGGTGGGAATTGGAGGGAACTCTTCAATATTACAGTTTTATTAATCCAATCGCAGGTGACTGAAGGTCGAGACGCTGAAGCGGCACCACAATCAATGTTAGGCACTTCTGAATCCACAGTCTACTCATTTCGTGCAAATCGATTACGAATTCTTAAGAGCAAAAATGTACTTGATGATGAAAGTTCTTCCGTTGAAAGATTCCAAGAACGATATTAATGAAAATTGTGTAATTACATATTCTTATCTTCTTCCTGATTGAAAATAAACGCGAAAAACAAGACAACAAATTTACGTGGTTCACCAATAAATTGGCTACGTCCACGGGGAAGAGAGGGAGCAGTTTTATTATGGAGAGGCAAAAATAAAATTACAGAATAGGGTTTGTCATAGCGTCTATATATATTGCTAAGCTACGCCCTAACAGGCTTGGGCCCAAATTGTATAAAGGGTAGAAAAGGAGAGATAGGAAACTGTTGTAACGGGTCCAATTCAAGGCATTCAACATTTTTCATATAATATTTCTTAGATAGTTAGTTATAAAGGGTAGAAAAGGAGAGATAGGAAATTTTTACTCGGTAGAAAGCTCAAATTGTATGCATCTTCAAACTTGGAATTTAGTTTTGGTAATCAACTATGTTCGAAATATAGCTTTTTATATATAGGTATAATCTCTAAATTTTTTTCATCAATAGTTAAATTCGTAGTTAGGAGTGTGTGCGCAAAATGTGAACGTAAAATTTAATAGGTGTTGGTTGATTAGCTCTAAAATTGGTTATTAAGCATGAATCTATTGTTGTCTTGAAGTTTTAATCTAATGGTTAGTGGTTCTAGATATTGATTGAATTGTCTAACACTATTTTGATTTAAGAAAGTAAAAATAGAGTTGGGTAAAACTTTATTAGTGAAACTTGTGAAATTACTCATTTTGTTGGAGTTAGAAATAGCCTGATCGAACTTATTTCTCGTTTAAGGATAAATCTAAAGATAATCTAAACACTCAGGTAATGTTTGGTGCTTTGATTGTAATAATCTTGGATTTTGAAAGAACCCAAGGGACATACGCTTAGTAGTTTGGAAGGATGTCAAGTATATCGAAGACCAAGCGATATTCATGTATTGACTAGTTTGGACTTGATCAATTTTGCCTATTCTATTGATACCCCATCAAAATGCATACATCCCTAGTCGTTTCCATCTTGGTGAAAACTCATTTGTGTTGATTTTCTTGCTATTGTTACTTGTGATTGAGTAGTTTTAAGTGTTACTCAATTTTGCATTTTTATATACTTGTTCAAGAAAGCATTGTGCTATATAATATTGAATTAAATAATTAATTAACTGAAACATAATATTCTCTATCAGTCCTAATTGTTCGATCCCAACCTCATACCTCAGATATTATTTTTACAAACGACTATTTTTGTCTCAAGGCATAATTAAGTATTATCACATATTCCTCTCTCCATTATTTTGATAGAGTTGCCTCATCGACATATAATATTGTTGGAATCACTTCAAATACATTTTTGGCTTGCTTGATAAACTAATTTATCTTTGTATAATTTAATTTTCATCTATAATAATATTGTATTATTGTAACTCCTCACAAAAATAAACAACATGTTTGGACATTTTGTTGATCAAATGTATACTCTATTTATTTTTTAAAATGACAATATTTGTTATGGCAATCACATTCATATCAAGATTTACAATTCATTTTATTTCATTATCTCCACGTAGGAGTAAAACTATGTCAAACTCAAATTTATAACAAAATATATAAATACATTAATTGAATATAGATATAATATTTCAGGATTTAAGAATTATGTAAGTTTTTCATTTTAACTTCTTTAAGCAGATTATCTATTTTTTTTGAATTTTTTTTCATGAGTTTTAATAATATTCAAGTGATCAACTTGCATAACAATATGAAAAGTTCTAGTTTTAATAAAATTATTAGAATAAATACAGTTGTTTTATATTATGTGACTAAGGTAATTCTAGAAGATTAATCTTAATTGACTTAATGCATATAAGGATTATATATAATTTTCGTTTGTTTTAGCTAGTCTTGTTGCTTTTGAGACACTTTTTGTGGTCCACTTTTGAGACTTGTACGCTTAATAGACAGCTTTGTACTAGTGACTTTCAGGTTCTGGGAGGAAATTCTGAAAATATATTTATTTTGATTTGTCTCCAACTTGTTGTCCTTGTGTAGATTATTATTTTCACTAGTTTCTGTCCTTTCGCTCATTACCTGATGTTCTGGGTTACAGGTTGGCTTACCTAATGGTGGAATATAGTAAGTGTCATCGTGGCTCAAGAAATCGAATTGTGACAAGCTGATCCCGATATTTTGAATTCTTCAAGAAAATTTATGCAATTTTATCGAGTGACAACATTCAGTATTAAATATATGACATCTTTTAATATTTAAATTGATGGTCAAATGATCATTACACTTTTCAAAATGCATTGTTTCCCTTCAGAAACCTTTCAACATTAACATGCTTAAATAATCGGAGGATACTGATGATTATCACACTCTTTTATAGGATCATGCGATAGATTATTTCAAAGATTTCGTGTATGATTAATATTGAACTTATTAAGATCTTATTACTTTCATTATTTTCATGTATCTATATCTCTCATGAAGTTTCATGAATGTGTTGTGTTACAGGCTCTTCAAAAGCACATTATCTGCTTAATATGATCATTTACTCCTTTCTTTTTTTTAAAAATAAATTCATGTGAAATCAATATGTCATAATATACATGTATTAGTATATTTTTTTCTTCCGAAACACTCAACTAAATATAAAATTAAAGTTTGATTAACAAATACTTCTATCATTTAACTTAAATTATATATAAAGGAAGATTTAACTTTAAACAATTCCAAATACATTACTTATAATTTCCTCCTTATATTAGAAAAACTAGCATATCCACCCGTGTATATTATGGTAAATTAGTTATTTATGAATCATACATCAAAGTTTATAAGATGAAAAACGTTTAGTTCTTGATTTTGAACCAATTGAGCGAGAAGTATTATTCATAATTTTTTTGTCTCAAGCATACAAGTGTTCTTAAATACAATATCTCATGTCATGAATTAACACAGATTATTCCTATAAGTAATGATTTGATAATTTATCGAAGGCATTTAATGATAAACCAGTTTAGATCTAGATCATCATTATCAGGATGAGTTATCTCAATTACATGATTTGAAAATTATGCCCTTAATTAACATAATTATTTATTTCCAGTAAGCAATTTTACAAATACTAACTACAGGTTGACAACAAATGTGCATATGACAACCTTGTTTTTCATATATGCATATGTTTCAGTATTTCGTGAATTCAGTCCAAACAATTATCTAAGCAACAACATAAAATAATTCTTGAAAAATCTTCTAACTATTCAATATATGTCTATTACTTAATATGCATATCTTCGAATGGTGAAATCGTTCACAATAACTGAAAAAAATATTTGTCCTAGTAAACTTCAAATTGATAGTGACTTAGTGTTATTTGTTTTGATGAGTAAAATTTTGATTTATGTTGCATGAATTTTTGTATCAATAAACTTTTGTACTGCTATGCCATGTAATTCTATCATGCCTATATTGTGTAGTATAATTTAAATAAGATGGATAATCTTTCGTATACATATTTCTTATCCACTATAATTTTGAAGATTTATAATCTCTCAACTATTTGTAATCTCGAGTTCGAAGGCTAAAGGGCAAAAAAGTTGATAAAAATTTCAAAATAGTATATCAAAATTTTTTTAATTCAAAACGGTAAAATCGCTACGTCAATAGTGATTTTTTAACTCAAAATTGCTCTACCTGTAGCGTTTTGCAATTTTTATAATTTTTTTTTTAAAAAAAAGTTAAAAAATCACTGCAGTGGCAGCCAAGTTATTTTTTTTTCAAAAGCAAATCGTTGTAGGGGCAGCATTTTTGCATAAATTTTTGTTTATTTATTTTTTAAAGGCAAATCACTGCAGGGCAGCGTTTTTGTATTTAATTTTTTTTAAAAGCAAATCGCTGCAGGGGCAGCGTTCTCTTCCAATTTATTTTT